TATATATCCATATCCATATCCATATCCATATCCATATCCATATCCATATCCATATCCATATCCAAACAAATTGTTCTACAGGAAGTGTTACTGCTTCGGAAAGGAAGGTGGTGCAGAGAGTGGTGAAGATGGCAGAAAAGATTATTGGCAGTTTGCTCCCTTCTGTCCAGGATATGGCATAAAAGCGATGCTTGAGTAGGGTCTGCAGGATTGTCTGGGATGCTACACATCTTCGTCACAATTTGTTTTTCTTGTTACCTTCTGGGAGGAGTTTCGTGGTTGCTGAAGCAGAACATCCAGATTCAGTCACAGTTTTATCCCATATAGCATCAACCTTGTGAACTCTCAAGTTTTCTCTTTCTGCTCTGTATTCAAAATGGACAGTGATTAATCTTTATATGTGTGTGCGTGCATGCACACACACAAACACATACACACACTTTTTAGAGCAGGCACAGAATTTCATTTTTAATGTGGGCAAGTGTGCTCACAGGAAAAAAAATGACTATAGAGGTTTATCTTATCCTATCCTATCCAATCCATCTTATCTTATATAATTTGCCTTCGTGTGTAACTCCAGCCTAAAAAAAATCCCAGCTCACCAAATTTTAAAAGAAGAGGAAAGGGGTACGATATGCATTTTAGCTGTAAGAGTCTCAGCTGACAGAAGTGCTGGAAATGGATAGGCCTGGCTTGAGATAATGAGACCGTAAGCAAAAACCTCCCCTTTTCAAGTTGCAGTCGGAGAAATCACACGTAAAAATATTTACATTAGGAATGGAATTCCCATCACAGATGTAGAGTCCTGACCCACTAGCAACCAAGCATGTAATACCTATGCCTTGGCTTCTTGGGTTTCCTCAAGGGATAGGGTACCCATGTAGTTACTTTTATCTTCTTCATAACAGCAACAAACACCTTTGATATTCCAATGTTAAAGTGATGTTTTCAGGCTTAAGCCAGCAGTAGTCAACAGCCATGGTAAAGTATATAAAATTTGTTACACTTTACTTCCTGTTACTTTGGAGGCAGTCAGGTGACCCACTGAACCTGGGATCAACCTGAATCTATTGATCACTTCAGATTGGCACTATCACTGACTCTTCCGCTCAGATCCCTGAGGCACTTCACCAAGGTCATAATTGCATATAGGTAGTCCCAACTTACAACCACAATTGAGCCCCACATTTATGTTGCTAAGTGAGAAACTTGTTAAGTGAGTTTTGCATCATTTTACAACATTTTCTTGCCAGAGTTGTTAAGTGAAGCACTGTAGTTGTTGTGAATCGGGCTCCCCGTTGTTGTTATTTGTCAGAAGGTTGCAAAAGGTGGTCAGGTGACCCTGTCATAATTATAAGTTTGAAAAATGATCATAAGCCACTTTTTTCAGTGCAGTTTTAACTTCAAATGGTCACTAAGGAGCTATTGTAAGTTGAGGACTATCTGTATTATTTCAGTGAGTGAGAACATCCACCTCTTTGAAACCAGATTGGCCTGTTCTAACATCCCCTTTAGGAATTTACAGATCAGCTACAAGTTGTCAGATGGCTGATTCATGGAGATGATGAATATGAAAGCCACTGTATTTTTCCTTAGAGATCCAGTTCAGTCTAGTGGTTAAGGTACTGGCCTAGAAACCAGGAAATTCTGAGTTCTAGTCCCACCTTAGGCATAAAAGCCAGATGGGTTTCTTTTGGTCATTTAGTCACTTCTATCCCAACTCATTTTACAGTGGTGTTGTTGGGAAAATAGAAGGAGGAAAGACCATTATGTATTATATGTTTGCCCTCTTGAGTTACTTATAAAAATGATAAAGACAAGATGAAAAAACAAATAAATTTACCATTTCCCAGAGGTGACAGGTGCTCCAAGAGGTAGCAGGTTGCAGGTGGAAGAATCTGCTGCCTTCCAAACTGGGCTCTCTCATTTTATCAAGCATTTCTCAGCAGTGTTGGGAAGATACTGCATTTTGACAAGCACTTTGATTCATATGGCAGTAGCCCTCTTTCCAAACATACTTGGGGAAGCCTACAGATAAGCAGACTTGAGCAGTTGGCAGGTATTTACAGCTGGCTTCCCCAGTAGTACAGTGATAGATGGTTTGTTTCCCAACACTTTGTGATGTTCAGAATGTGGGAGTCCCTAATAACTTGTATTTTCATGTCAGTTCTGGCTTCTGTTCTTCAGGTAACAGTGAATTTGGATCAGTACGAATATATTACCTTCTGGGCTCTTGGCCAACGGATAGGACCTCTGCGAGTGATGGCTGCAACTCGAGCCGAGAGGACCGGCTTATTTGGCACTGCTCGGATTCCTGCAGACAGGCAAGAAAAAAATGGTCTCCTTAGTATCTGTTGCCACCTGGAGATCCTTTTGGGGGAGTATTCCCAAGACTCGGCCTTCTAACAGGTCAGATTTCTGTCCATCTAGGTTGATGTTACCTACTTTGTCTTAAGAAGAGCAGTGATGGAACAGACCATAGACTGGCATTCTGATAGTCTGAGTAGGGCCTTAAGAGGATACCTCCACCAAATATTGAGAGCAGCTTTGCCCTCAAAGTATTCCTCTTCCACTGAATTCAGAAGCATATCATCTCTGATCCTTGACATAGTCTAACAGCCGTTTTCCTTATCTTTTCAAGATGTCCCAGTCACATATTTAAGAAATCAATTGCATGGTTTGGTGAATTTACGTGGTTCTTTTCCTGTCTCATAAACCTGAAGCTCTTTGCTTGTAAAACTCTGTTACTCAGCTGTGGTTCTTCCACCCAGTTTTATGTGCTGTTGTAAATGAGATACTACAGAAGGGATGATTTATAATTTGGAAGGAAATGCTTTATGATTTCTAGGGTGAAATGTTCACCCTAGAGTGTATGCCGCTTACTGATTTTTTTTCTTGAAATTTCTGTGGATAGAAAACTGAAAAATACATTCTTAAGAGGAGGGAAAGAATGCTTTTTCTTAGAAGTTAAACGTTTTCATCCGTGATTCATTTCATCAAATGCTAAGGTTTGCCTGGAGAAGCTTTTTTTTTTAGGGCATTCTAAATCTGAATTACATTTGGGTTAGCCAGATTGTGCTCTCTTCCATCATACCTGCTCTGACAGGGTTTGATTACTCTTTCTCAGTTCCTTTAATCAATGTTTTTCAAGTTCAGCAACTAAGACGTGTAGATTTTGGCATGCTGGCTAGAATATTCTGGGAGTTGAAGTCCACAACTTATAGTTGCTGAGGTTGAGAAGCATAAAAATGTGTATGCCACCTAATTTCCTCTGTTGAATGGTGATAGGCTTTATATGTTTAATTTATTGTCTATAAGTCAATTCTTAACTTGCAACTGAAGCCGTAACTGTGAGTTCTAATTTTGACTTAGGTACTGTGGACTTAGACTGACATTAAACTGGTCACTCACTCTCAGCCCTAGGAAGAAATCAAAGGCAAACTTTCAGTTTTGAAAAACCTTGCCAAAGAAAACTGCAAGGACTTTTCCAGGCAGTTGCAAGGCGTCAAGAAATGGTCTTAAAGGCACAAATAAAAAAAAAATAGAAGGGCTATAAAAATGTTCGTCCCAGAAGTTCCATTCTACCCTATTATAGTTGGATGACAAGGAATGTGACAGCATAGATAGGAAATTATATTCCACTGGGACCCTCCGCTTTTTGCCAGCCATTTTGATAGATTGCATTAATGCTGAGCTAGTATTACTAGGCATAACCAAGTACCATATTGATTATTCTTCATGAATTAACATAGCAAAATTAACATAGCTTGACATAGCAAATTACCATACTGTATATATATTTTTAAATGATGGCAGGTTTGGTCATGCTGGACCAATTATCCAGATTGATTAAGGATGTCAGGCAACATATGACATTTTTTGGCATGTGATAGTGCAAGACTGTTCTGAAGCAGAAGAGATTATGAAATCGGAAAAAGGAAAAACAAGCCTTGCCAGATAGGTTTTAGTTGTTTGACTATGGAAAGTTTCAACAATAGAGATGCAAGTTAATTTTCAGCAACCAAATTGGGATAGTTTACAACTTAACAAGAATAGAAGTCTCACTGAAATGTTCCTACTTTTCCACATGGTCCCAGTCAGCTTTGCCAGTCAGGGGCAAAGATTATTGGGGAGAAAATTATAAAATGTTTTTAATTATTATTGGTTCTTAATTTTATGTATTTGTTTTTCCTCTCAACAGGATGGGGTGATTTGGCTACAATCACTTCATCTTTTGTACAAACATTTTTTTTCAATAGTTTATTCCTGATTTTTTGCATCCTCCAGATCAATCTGTGTTGGCAATACCTGACATTTTGTGACCCATAATAATATGCCCTTTATTTTTCAGAGCTCTTGTATCATCACCCCTCAAGACCAAAATCTGAAACTTTTTGTCAAAAGGGTAATTGAGTTACTTCCATGCCTATAAAAGACCCACTAGTTCCTAATCCAAGTATTTTACAACCCTAAAAAAGATGATAGACCTCATTTTTTCTCTCGTAGTATAGTGGGTTTATCTGGCCTTATCCATCCCATAGAGCCAAGGTGTCAAACTCACGTCATCACGGCAGCGTCATGTGACATACTGGGACTTTTTCCCCCCTTCGCTAAACCGGGCAGGGGTGGGGCCAGCACGTGATGCATCCGGCCCAGTGGCCGTGAGTTTGACACCCCTGCCATAGAGTGATGAAATTACTTATTCTTCCCTTCCCCTGCTTTCTTACAGAGACTGATGTGCTTGAGTAGTTCTCTGGAATTCCAACTTCGATATAAATATCTGACCAGATCATTGGAGGTTTCTCTGTTTTCCTGTTGGAGATTTGCTGTTGGAATTCAAAATCTTTTATCTTTGGATGGTTCCACAAACTTATAATATGTGTGGCCCTTGCAGTCTCTAAAGCTTGCGTATTTTTATACAGATAGTCCTCACTTACAACAGTTCATTTGGTAACCGTTCAGTTACAAGGGCACTGAAAAAGTGATTTATGACTGTTTGTCATACTTCGACCATTGCAGCATCATCTAGTCACGTGATCAAAATTCAGACGCTTGGTAGCTGACTTATATTTTTGACCGTTGCAGTGTCCCAGAGTCATGTGGCTTCCTTTTACGACCTTCTGACAACTAAAATCAACGGGGAGGCCAGATTCACTTAACAACTGTGTTACTAACTTATCAACTGCAATGATTCACCTAACAACTGTGGCAAGAAAGGTCATAAAGCGGGGCAAAATTCACTTAACTGTCTCATTTAGCAACAGAAATTTTGGACTCAATTGTGGTCGCATGTTGAGGACTACCTGTAGTTTTTCCAATTGTGGCATTACCTAGAAACCAGATAAACTGGGATATTGTTTATATGTTAAAAGTCTTTCTGCTTCCTATCTTTCTGTAAATTTGAAATCATTGCCTCTGAATTCCTCCCAATTTTAGAGCTAATGCTCTTCCAGTTGGAACATATTTCGTGGTCAAGCACATTGTTTCTGCAAGATAAAGTACTTACAATATAGAAATCAATATATGAATTTCATGCGGGACCATATCAGAGTTTGCACAATACCCAACAGCTGTCATGGCTGCAACCGTATTGATAGAATATGCTCTTCTGTAAATAGAACAGTTGCACCAGTGCTTTCCAGCTCCTTTTTATCCTCACGCAAATTACCCATTCCAGGTCCAGATTAAACTTACCTCCAATGCTAGATTTATTCCATGATTTTTCTCTCAGACCTTCTTTTACTCACAATGGATGCGTCTTTACCAAGTTGGGGGTTTCAGTGTAATGATCTGGTCATCATTGCCATCACAGTTGGGGATCCCTCAGTGTAAGGGAGTTTCTGGCAGTATGAAAAGCTCTCAAAGCTTTCTAGGGTCTTGAGTCGGTGGTTCTTCACCACCGACAATACAGATCGTCCTTGATTACAACTATCATTTATTGACTGTTACAATAGCACTGAAAAAAGTGACTTACAATCAGGACTTACAAACCATAACATCACCTCTAGAATTATGTGATTAAAGTTCGGGTGCTGGGCAACCAGCATGTATTTTAGAGAATTGCAATGTCTGGGATCATGTAATCACCATGGGCAACCTTCCCAGCCAACTTCCAACCAACAAAATCAATGGGGGAAGCCAGATTGGCTTAACAACCACATAATTCACTTAATAACTGCAGTGATTTGCTTAAAAGCCGTGGCAAAAAAAAGGTCCTAAAATTGGGTGTGACTCATTTAACAACTGCCTTGTTTAGCAACAGAAATTCTGGTTCTAACTGTGGTTATAGGTTGAGGACTACAGGCAATCCTTGACTTAACGGCTACAATTGAGCTCAGAATTTATGTTGCCAACTGAGAAATTTGTTAAGTGCCCCATTTTATGACTTTTCTTACCACATTTGTTAAGTGAATCACTGTGGTTGTTAAATTGGTAAACCGGTTGTTAAGTGAATCTGGCTTCACTGTTGACTTTGCTTGTCAGAAAGTCATAAAAGGGAATCACGGGACCCCCCTGGGACACTGCACGTCATAAATATGAGCCAGTTGTCAAGCATCAGAATGTAAATGACGTGACCATGGGAATGCTACAGTGGTCGTAAGTGTGAAAAATGGCCGTGTCACTTTTTTCAGTTCCATTGTAACTTTGAACGGTCACTAAATGAACTGTTGTAAGTCAAGGACTACCTTTATGTATAGTCTGAACCAGCATAAAATCTTTAAGAATTCTTTTTGCGCATTCTGGGCATTTATCCTATGTTGGTATTTTAGCTTGACAAGGCCCTGGCCTGGAAGATTCCACATTTTTTGGGCACTCGTCTGCCCCAAAGACCTCACCCGTTTCATTGCACTGAATGTGTAGCGAGCGATTTAATTATCATGTCTACTATATAATCTTCCACTATCAACACGCTGTCAACACGCTACCATGCTAGCTGGTCCCTCATATATTGCAGCTCTGCTAGATATCCCATGCTTCGACATGTGTGAAGCTCCTTGGACTGCATTGGCAGCTTTTATACAGGTAATCCTCGACTTCTGACTGGTCACTTAACAACCGTTCAAAGTTGTGACAACACCCCTCCCTAAGGTAGTACGATTCACTCCCGAAATTACCTCAGCTGCAGCATTCCTGTGGCTGTTTGCCCTTTCGATGCTTTAGCATGCCTCCACCTCCCATTTCCTCCCCCATCCTGCCTTGCTGGGTCCCCATGACCTTGACCTGTGCATCGTGTGATCCACCTTCCATCCTGTGTAGGCAGTCATTCCATTTCTGTGGGCCTGAAGGTATTGTGGCAAAACGATGAAGAGTATGACTGTCTAGAACAGGGGTCCCCAACCACCGGTCCACGGACCGGTCCCGGTCCGCGGAACAACTCCTACCGGGCCGCGGCTTGCTGGGCGCCGCCATCTTTTTTTCATGAAAAAGTGCTTCCGGTGAGCTTTTCCAGGTAGAAAGCTCACCGGAAGCACTTTTTCATCAAAAAAAGATGGCGGTGCCCAGCTGATGCCGGTACCGGGCCGCAGCGCCCAGCTGATGCCGGTACCGGGCCGCGGCGTCAAAAAGGTTGGGGATCACTGGTCTAGAACACGAAAATTGGGTTAACTCTAGAGCAGGGGTGTCAAATTCACGTCATCATGGTGTTATCACATGATATATGATTTCCCCGCCCCCCGCCCCTTTGTTAAACCGGGCGTGGGCATGGCCAGTGCATGACACATCCGGCCTGCAGGCCACAAATTTGACACCCCTGCTCTAGAGTTTTCCAAACTTAGAAGCAAACCTAACCTTAACCCTAACCCTAATGTGTGATTGCATTGATCACCTCTCAAAAAAATCCAGAATAAGAGACCAGCAACTTACTCTTTTTACAATATCTTGTTGTAGAATTTAGAGCTTTGGACGTGGAAGTAGAGAGGTGGGAGAGAGGAACTGCGAAGTTGCTGATCAAGGCAGGGGTTGGCATCCTTTTTAGGTGTCTTAATTGCATTCCTTTCCTCCACAAAACCAAACACAATCCTCCCAATATTGACATCTTTTTTTATCCCATTCACCTCCAGTATCTTATGCAAAGACAATGAAATTACTTTACACATGGTCCTCGACTACCAGTTAATTTAGTGACCATTCAAAGTTACAGCATCGCTGAAAAAAGTGACTTATCACCATTTTTTACACTTTAATGACTGTTGCAGCATTCCCCCCCCCCATGGTCATGTGATCAAAATCCAGAGGCTTGGCAACTGCCTCATGTTTATGGCGGTTGCAGTGTCCCAGGGTCACATGATCCCCTTTTGCGACCCTCTGACAAGCCAAGTCCATGGGGAAGCTAGATTCACTCAACAACCATGTTACTAACTTAACAACTGCAGCGATGTGGCCAGAAAAGTCATAAAATGGGGCGAAACTCTCTTTAACAAATGTTTTGTTTAGCAACATAAATTTTGGGGTACAATTGCGGGCGTGAGTTGAGGACCACCCGAAGATTACAACTTTCATTCATAGATTCATATGGAAAAACACCAGAATTTGGGGTGTTTCATTTTTCTCATAAGATCTCGGCCTTTTTTGAGGGGGGAATCTGCCAAAACTGTCTAGGAGTCTGGCAGACCATGAATCGTTGGCCCACCTCTGGAGAATCCGTGTTCACTTCCTAAACGTCGCTTTTCTTCAGTTCCTCCTCTTTTTCTTCTAATCATCCAGGCATTACTTCAAACGAGTTATAGTGGCTGCCCGAACCAAGAATTCCCATCTGGTGCTGAAATGCTTTAAGGACATCCCTTTGGAAGGACTGGAGCAGCTGCTGCCCCTGGTCAAAGTCCGCACCTCCATCTTCCACAGAGCCCTGCTCAACACCATGCTGGTTGTGAGCGGCTTGGCCCTCTTTGTGAACGTGGGCATGGTGGTGCTGTCCGACCTCAAGATAGGCACCACCACCCTGCTCTTCCTGTTTGCTGCCTTGATGGCCTTCCGGGCCTGGAAGGTAAGTCAGTCTCCAACGTTTCCAGAAACTCAAGAGCGGTGAGCCAAAAAAAAGGCTCAGACCTCCAAATTAATTAAACGCAGCAATATAATGTTTTAATAACTTTCCCCTTTCGGTAACATGAACAATTATAATTCATGGGCAATTCTTTAAGGAGGCTCTTGGGGGCTCTGGGTTAGGGAGATGGACAGGCATGATTATCCTCGTAGGAGCAAGCTTAATTTAATTGAGGTTCTTCTAGGGCAGAAAGCCAACTTGGCCTCTATCCCATACAGCTGTCAAGAACTTTATGGCAGAACACAGGTCTTCTGCTTAGAGGAATCTCATGTGGCGCGGCTGGAAAAAAAAAAGGTCTTTTTCAGTATGTGGAAAGCTGCTGCCAAAGAGACAGCTCTGAGAGAGGAGGTCTTTCACTTCCTGTAGAAGGAAGATTTATGTCTTCCTGCAGACATTTTGGTTTTCTTTGAATAAGTATCTGGAAAGCGAGTCCAGATCTTGCGGTTAAGGTTTGCTTGGGGGGGGGGAAACTGATAGCGGGAAAATCCTTTTGATGCAGGGGTAGGTAATCTTTTGAGAGCTTAAGCTGCATTTAATTTTGGGGGTAGCAGAAGAGTTGCACGGTGAAGGCGGATAAATGCAAAGGAGACAGTGTCCTGCCTTGGTTAGGGCTAGGATTTTCCTGCTTTTTTTTTTTTTTTACAGGACTTTCTTGAAGGAAGCAGCAGGCTGAGATTTCTCTGTGTCTTAAATTTGTTGGAATTTGTAATAATTGCTGTGGTTCCTGCTTCGCTGGCAGAAAACAATGCCAGTTATTTTCTCCATTCTTATCCCTTAATTTCAGCAGTGAAGAGAGGCCACTCAAAGGGAATGCCCCAACTGTATGGCACTTCCATATTGGAAATATTCGTAGACATTTTACTAGCATATCATAACTATTTGGTTTTGTTGCCATTATGTTACAGAAAGGTGTCTGCGTGCTCAGGTATACTTCCTCTAAGAGGCCAGGATCTCAGTTTGCATTTTGCTATGTCTCTCACGCTTGTGACCCTCCCCTCCCCCACACTTGATGACCTACGGATTCAAATACAGAATCAGAACAGAGGTGGAAGAGACCTTGGAGGTCTTCTAGTCCACCCCCCTGCTCAAGGAAGAGACCCTATACCATTTCAGACAAGGGACTGCCCAGCCCCATCTTAAAAACCTCCAGTGATGAAGCTTCTGAAGGCAACCTGGTTTCTGGTTAATTGTCCTCACTGTTAAGAAGTTTCTCCGTAATTCCAGGTTGCTCCTGTCCTTGATTAGTCTCCATCCATTGTTGCTTGTCCTGCCTTCTGATGCTTTGGAAAATAAATTGACCCCCTCTTCTTTGTGGCAGCCTCTCAAATACTGGAATCATGTCCTCTGTTTTTCTCTAGACTAGCCAACCCAAATCCTGCCACCGTTCTTCATATGTTTTAGTCTCCAGGCCTTTATTCATCTTTGTTGCTCTTCTCTGCACTTCTTCCAAAGTCTCAACATGTTTTTTGTAATGTGGTGACCAAAACTGGATGCAGTATACCAGGTGTGGCCTTACTAAGGATTTACTAATATAGTCCTCAACTCACTGCCGTAACTGAGCCCCAGATTTTTGTTGCTAAGTGAAAGACTGTTTATGTGAATTTGCCCAATTTTACAACCTTTCCTGCCACATTTAAGTGAATCATTGCCATTATTAAATTAGTAACACAATTGTTAAGTGTGAATCCAGCTTCTCATTGACTCAACACCTGACCCCAGATCCTGCAACTGTCGTAAATATAAGTCAGTTGCCAAGCATCTGAATTTTGATCATGTGACCATGGAGATGCTGTAATGGTCATAAGGGTGAAAAATGGTCATAGCTCACTTTTTTCAGTGCCGTTGTAACTGAACAATCACTAAATGAATTGCTGTAAATCAAGGACTACTATATTCTGCATTCTTTTCATAGGTCTTTGGCCAGCGAAGGAACATCCACTCTCTTGAGCTGGTGCATATGCTGTACTACCGCAGCACCTCCAATAACTCGGAGCTTTTGGATGCCCTCACTCTGCGGGCCCAGGAGGAGCATGCCAAGGAAGTCATCTTGGCGCACAGTTTCCTCTTACAGCACCACCAGCAACAGCAACAGCCCTTGCCAAAGGAGACAAGGGTGGAAACAGGTATAGTCTAGAGCAGTGATGGCTAACCTTTCTGGGCTCATGTGCCAAAAATTGAGTGCGCGCTCGCACTCATGTGCCAGCACCCAGAAGGCAATGCGTGTCCCCCCCCCCCCACCTCCCCCACACCCGCGGGCAATACCCCACCCCTCCCTGCCTCTCCCTTACCTGCACTGCACCTCACAGCTGATTTTTGGCCTCCCAAAGGCTTGAGGAAGGCTTCTGCAGGCTTCTACAAGCTTCGCAGGCTGAAATCTAGCCCCGTTTTGTCACTTCCCGTTTTTCTGAAAATACAGGAAGTGACAAAATGGGGCTAGATTTCGGACTACAAAGCTTGTAAAAGCCTGCAGAAGCCTTCCTCGAGCCTTTGGGAGGTTGAAAAAGGCCTCAAACCGGCCGAAAATCAGCTGTAAAACCAGCTGCACATGCGCAGGTTCGCCATCACGGGTCTAGGCTTTGATTCCTTGGGCTGGAATAGGGGTGCCAGGAGGCAAAGGGGTCCCTTCTCTGAGAATCGGTTTCAGTTCCAGTAGGGTCTCTGACTCATCTCTTTGCGTTTGCAGACTCCAACCCTGTTGAACACGTGAGGAAGCAAGTTGAGGCTTGGCTGCACCTGCGTTCCGGGCTGGAAATTAACTTCTGTGCCGAACGTGCCTGCCAGCATCTCAAGGAATTGGGAGTGAAGGGAGCAGCCCATCCTGTCATTGGATAAGAGCTTCCTAGGATTGTTTTAATTGGTGTTTGGGGCTGTAAATCAGCCTTGTCCCTGTGGTATTGGGCATGCCAGGTTTTGACGGCAAGAGGATGCAAAGCTTATTTTTTTCCAAAGGTTTAAGGGAACAGTGCCCCGTGGTGTAATTATTTGTGCCACATGGATCCTTAGAAGCTATTGGATGTCAGCTCCTGAGATGTGCTTCCTTTTAGCACCAGATTTTCTTTCAGATATCCCGTGGAAAACGTGCTGTAATATTAACATTTGCATGCTATGAAAATACTATTTGGAGTACAACCTTAGACCTCATTATACAAAGCCATAATGCACCTCAGATTCTCTTCTTTGCAGAGAGGAGCTTTCTTGCTTTTAAAATAGCAGCAATTTTTATTAGGCACACTGGTTTTTTTTTCTTCCTTTGAGCTGTTTATTTTTCTTTCCCCAAGGAACGAGTGGAAGCAGTTTACATATAAAATGAGCACTGTGCAAAGCAGTGAGTCTCTTTTGCATTTAGGGCGAGATGAGTTTTTAATATCATGTGCTAGCCTGCTGGGGGCATTCCTGAAAAATACATTAAATCACTTCTATGGCACTTTGAATTGTACAGTATACACTTAATGCCAAGCCATATCGCACGCTAGGATTCCCTGCTCTAATTTTTTTTTCCCTGCCAGTTTTACAGAGGTGGCAGAGGTTCATGCTTTCCATCCTGTGTGGTCCTGAACAAAATAGCAAATTTAGGTTATCTGTGGAGGGGGAAAAAATCCAACAGGTAAGTCCTGAGTTACTGGAAGAACAGATCCCTCTTCCTCTCGGTGCAGTAATTTTTACACTGAAACATAAATATTTGCTCTTCAAATTTGAAGTCTGCAGTGGGTGCATTGCTGGAAGACCATAAAGAGATTGTCATGGGAAAAATCTATGCGGTCACTAAGAATTGACAATAACTTGATTGCATATTATCTTATCAAATGGAGTGCGTGAATTGGAGCATTTTTACTTCATGTGAATCTGTTCTCATTCTACCCTTATGATGACTCCCTGCACATTGACTTTTGTATATGGATTGATAGCTGGTGTATTTCAATGCATGTATGCATGTACTTTATTCTGAAGAGTGTTTTTGGAACAGGTGCAGCCTTGTCCACTGCTAGCTGGAAGACATGAGTCCTCTCCCTTTTCTCTTTCCTGTTTTCCTTCGTCTTGAGAAAGCCTATGCATTCTTTGGGGGGTTGCCAGAGAGAAACATGTGTCAGATCTGTATTCTGTCCACACAAGTGAGATTATGACAGTAGCAGCAAGAGCAGCAATCCAAATTTCTCTAGTTCCTATTGAAAGATCAGTCATAGACAATTTGTTTTGCCTCAAGATGAGTGAGAGAAATGCTGTTTAAAAGTATATCCTCTGGGGTCAAAAGATCCAATAGTAAAGACATTGTTGTATAATGGTTTGGTTGAGAACATTTTCCACGCTGTTCCCTTGGGATCCTTCAAGGAGATCACTGCGGCTGTTTAGTTACCTGTTTCAAAATGCTGACCGAAATGATTTCCAGGGTGATACCTATCTGGATGGCGATAGGAGAGAGCTTCAGAGCAGATGGCTTTGGTTTGGCTTTAAGCCTGAGCTTATCATGCTAATCACAGAATCAGATTATCCGCTTCCATCCAGTGGGAACGCTAGCATAATTCGTGGGAAATATAGAAAGGGCCTCTTTCTTATGAGCAATAAAGGTTTTTTTTTGTGCCTCACTGCATTTTTCTCTCTTGGTTTTGTATGGTTTGCTGAACCCAAAGGTGCTTTTTCAGAAGACAACTGTACTTTGTTGTTCCTTGAAGATGTTTTACTCCTCATCCAAGAAGCTTCTTCAGTTCTGGTTTGCTGAAGTTCCCAGAATTTGGAATTTTGGGAACATGTGGTTACAACCTTTTTTTTTTTTTTTTTTGGCCACATTTGTTAAACAAATCACTGTAGTTGCTATACGAATCATGTAGTGATTAAGCAAATCTGGCTTCTCCCGTTGATTTTGTTAGAAGCTGACTGGGCAAGTCAAAAATGGCAGTTACATGACCCCAGGACATTGCAACCCTTGTAAATGCATGCTGTTGCCAAATTGTGTTCATATGATTGTGGGGATGCTGCAGTGGTCCTAAGTGTGAGGCCTAGTCATAAGTCACTTTTAACAGTGCCATTTTAAATTTGATCAGTCACTAAATGAATAGTTGTAAGTCAAGGACTAACTGTAACCTGTTGTAGGTACACATCTGAATGGCATATACCAGGGGTGTCAAACTTGATTTCATTGAGGGCCACATCAGGGTTGTGTTTGACCTTGGAAGTCAGTGTGGGCACAGCCAGGGTGGCCATGACAAGGGATTCATGTTGGGGGCAAATGAGGTGGCCAAGTGCTAAGGCCAGCCTTCCCTAAGATCCTCCCTCACTCTCATTATAATCTCCCTCCATTCCTTCCTTTTTTTCTTTTTCCTTCTCTCTTTCTTTCTTTTTCTTTCTTTCTTTCTTTCTTTCTTTCTTTCTTTCTTTCCTCCTTCCTTCCTTCCTTCCTTCCTTCCTTCCTCTCTTTTGTTCTTTTTCTTTTCTTGCCCTCTTCCCATCTTTCCTTTTTCTCTTCTCTTTCTCCTTTCCTGTCCCTTCTTACATGCTCAAATGCAAAAGGGGAAAGGTCTGTTTTCACTGGCAGAGGCACCACGGGCCAGATCTAAGCACCCCATGGGCCGGATCTGGCCCATGGACCTTGAGTTTGACACCCCTGACGTAGATGTACTTTTGTATAGATAACGTCTCTGAGAGTTCAAGGGTAGATACGCCATTTCTAGTTACCACTGAGCATCAGGACCTGAAGTGCTTGTAAAACAAATGGATTGTATGTTGTCATCTAAAGCATGATGGTGAGTTCAAGTCCTGGTAGAGGGTTTAAAAATCGGAATAACACCTGGCTACCCATGTCTAAAGACTCTCAATAAAGATGCAGCTGGTCACATGGTGTCTTGTGGTGGTCCATATAACTGTCATAGTCAGAGCAGTTTATTTTTGATTTGAGTTGGCAGGCACTCAGCCACCAATAATATCCTTATTAGATACTATATAAGAATTGGACATTGGGGCAAAACAGTGGTTGATTTCAAAGTAATAACTCTGCCTTTCTTGTTCAATGACTGTCTTGTTTAGCAGCTGTTTGCAGTTCCAACAATGTTGAAAACTTTCCATGCCCTGCTTAACTTTGGCTCAATAGATTTTTTTTTTTTTAAAGAGAGAGAGATGAATCAATTTGTACAGGTGTAATAAAGGACAGATCGAGATAAGCTGCCTCCAGACTCCTAAGACGTGTGTACCTTACATTGTGCTTTGATGCCACTGGTGAAATTTGCTTCTTCCGATATCCACTATTGCAGAATATATGGGAACCTCTCTCCAAATATGCAAAACCATAATATATTTTTAACAGTTTGTCAATTCCTATTCTTACTTCTCGCAGAATCTTTCTATTTCTAGTTTTCTCTACTTGCCTCCCAATATTTCCTCCACTGTTTCAAATCACTCTTTACTTGTCCTTTGCTTGTATTGAATTAATTTGTCCCAAGCCATAGAATAAGAAAATCTAAAATCACCCAAGATACCTGGGTCATATTATCATATGTGGTGGACAAAATATACTGGACAAAAATACATATGTGGATGGAAAAAATGATAAAGCAGCATATTGATTTAAAGCCAGAATATGTTGGGGATTTTAGCTGAAAAATCTACTAAGGGAAATGCATATTTAATTATTCATATATTAACTGTTGCTAGAATTGTATTTGCACAAAGCTGGAAGAATGAAGATACCCACAGATGAGAATGTGATTAGGAAAATATTAGAATGTGCAGAAATTAAAAGAGTAATGCTTGCAATTAAGGAGAAAGAGTAAACTGAATATTGTACGACATGGGATTTATTTTATCAATGGTTAAATAATAAAAATAGAAGTTAGAAAAAGGAAACAAAGATATGTTAAAAGAGATAGGCAAATATGATTAGTATAAATATTATTTTAACATTGTAGAATTAATCCTAATATAATGAATGGTGTTGTAAATTTTGATTATTGTTCAGCAAAAATACTTGTACCCAGATGACACACTGTTCAATTAAAGATGGAATTATTAGATTTAAAAAAATTAATAAAAAGGAAAGTCTAAAATCACCCTTTGGAAATGTGTTTGTATTTATGAATATATTGCTCACTGTGAAAAGGTAAACAGGGAGATTCCTGATAAGCACTTGGATGGGAGTCCACAAGATTTCAGAGCTATAGACTGGATAGTTGAAAAATAAATCTGAGGTGATAGCAAAACTAGCCATATTGTTGCCAAGAAACTTTAAAATCACAGTGTACAATGTGAAGGAAACCACAGGCACTGCTATCGGATCTATCCCAGGCCTAGATCTGTAACTTAAATCTGTAACTTAACTTAAATCTCATGATAAGATAATCTCGTGTAACTTAAATCTCGTGATAAGACGCCCAACCTCAGCTTTCTTTATAGTAGATATAAAATGGAGGCAACTTGGCCATGTTGGTCAGGCAATATTTTTATCTCAACAACTTTCCCAAATTGTGATTAATGATAGTAACATATTTTTGCATTGAGAAACTAGTTAGGATTGAAAATCCTAACACAGAATAAACCATAACTACGTCGTATTAATGCCTCCTTATTTAAAACAATGTTTTTCAAAGACAATAACATTTAAGATGTGGACTTCAATTCCCAGAATTCCCCAGCTAGCATGGGAATTCTGGGATTGGAAGTCCGCACATCTTAAAAAGTTGCTAAATTTGAAAAACAGTGACTTAAAAACTCCAGCAATTGCATTGAATGCTCCAAGCATGCCTTCCAAAGGGTTAATAGTCTACAGTAGCCAGCAACCATTTGTCCTTTGCAGAAACCTCTAATTTAGTAACTCCTCTTTTTAGTGCAATCTTTTTGTTAAGTCTGGGCTCTTATTATTCCTAAGATTGCTTGTGTTTTTACAAAAAGGCAACTCCTATTTGTGTTTGGCAGCAGATAGATTCTTCAGATCTCAACAAGATTAAATATTTATTCATTCCCAGGCACAGATCTGTGCTTTGCCAGATGGCAAATTAGCACCCTCCGTGGACTTGAAGCTGCCTGCACTTTTGCCTAATATGGATGGGAGTAGGTTACTTTGTCAGAGAAGCAGACGGTCCAGTAGTTATACCGCACAGGCAGACCCAAAGCAGCTCGTCCCAATTTTATACCCCACATGTGCAAAGTGAATAAGGGAGCCTAGGGCCAACCAGTCAAGACCGCTCGGATCTCATCTACGAAAATAATAGGGTTCTTGGGAAGTTTGTGAGTAGCTTAAATGTTCAAATGCCACAATATAGATAGTCCTTGACTTGTGACCACAACGGAGCCCAAAATTAGTGGGACTGTGATTAAGTGAATGTTAACCCATTGTATGACTTTTCTTGCCATAGTTGCTAAGTGAATCACTGCAGTTGTTAGTAATATGGTTGTTAAGTGAATCTGACTTCCCCTTTGCTTGTCAGAACGTTGCAAAAAGTGATCCGATGACCCCGGGACACTGCAACTGTCAAAAAATACATGCCAGTTGCCAAGCATCCAAATTTTGATCATGTGACCATGGGATGCTACAGTCATTGTGAAAAACTGTCATAAATCACTTATTTTAATGTTGTTGTAACTACGAACGGTCACTAAATCAACAGCTGTAAGTTGAGGACTTCCTGTAAATAAAAAGTTCATTTAGTGACAGTTCAAAGTTACAATGGCACTGAAAAATGTGAGTTGTGACAGTTCATATTTATGACCATTGCTGTGTCCCGGGGTTATCTGATTATCTTTAGTGATTTTCTGACAAGGGGAAGCCAGATTCATTTAACAACTAAATTATCATCTACAATGATTCACTTAACACCTGTGGCAAGAAAGGTCATAAAATGGGGCAAAACTCACTTAACTAATGTTTCACTTAACAGTTTGGGTTCAATTGGGGTCGTAAATCAAGGACTACCTGTAGCTTTCCAGTTAAGATTGTAAGGCAGTGAATGAACACCTCCAGTGTGGATTGTGGCTGATCTTGATACTAGCTCTGTGGGTTATATTTAAGTTGCAATTTGCTACAGGTAGTCCTCGCTTACTGACTGCCTCATGCAATGTCAAAGCTAGAACAAAGCTTGTTTTTTGACACAAATTCTGTAGCACAACCAGCACAGCATCCCAATCATACGATCACCATTCAGGCACTTCGCAACCAGTGCACATTTATGGCTGCCACAGCATCCCAGAGTTGAATGAGCGCTATTCATGTGTTTCACAACTGGCTTCTGCACATGGAAATAGTTAATATCACTAAGTGTGAGAGGGATCTTGGAGTCTTAGTGGACAACCAGCTAAATATGAGTCAGCAGTGTGCGGTGGCAGCTAAAAAAGCCAATGAAATCCTAAATTGCATGAACAGAGGGATGCAATCAAGTGAGGTACTAACTAATACCACTCTATAAAGCCTTAGTAAGACCACACCTAGAATACTGCATCCAGTTTTGGTTACCACAATATAAAAAAAGATGTTGAGGCTCTAGAAAGAGTGCAGAGAAGAGCAACCAGGATGATTAGGGGACTGATGGCCAAAACATGATGAATGGTTGCAGGAACTGGGCTTGGCTAGTCTAGTGAAGAGAAGGACCAAGGGAGACATGATAGCAGTGTTCCAATATTTGAGAGTCTACCACAGTGGAAGGGGTCAAGCTATTTTCTAAAGCACATGTAGGCCAGACAAAGAATAATGGGTGGAAACTGAACAAGGAGAGATTTAACCTGGAAACAAGGAGAAACTTTCTGACAGTGAGAACAATCAACCAACGGAACAGCTTGCCTTCGGAAGTTGTGGGAGCTTCATCACTGGAGGCTTTCAAAAAGAGATTGGACTGCCATTTGTCAGAAAGGGTGTAGGGTCTACTGCTAGGGTGGGGGTTGGACTAGATGACCTTATAAGGTCCCTTCCAACTCTGTTAATCTGAAATTGCAGTCATATGACACCTTACTTTACAGCCATTGTGATTCACTTAACAACCAAACAGAAGTAACATCATAAGCCCATCGTGGTCACATTATTTTTTATGCTGACTGACTGCATCACTTAGCGATAAAGATGGTCACATTGTGTTGGCTAAAAAAGAGCTACCTGAATCATAATCTTTCATGGTCTCCTCTCTAAATATGAACTTCCCTTGTGAAAGCTAGGAGAATTGGCGTATAAAGCATTTGCCACCCCAAAGAAGGAAAATAACAGCTCTGAGAAGTCTTTTTGTTCCTTTTTAATTTCTAAAATACATATAAAATATAAAAGCCAAGAAGAAGACAAAAGGGGACATTTGTAAAACATCAATTTTGGGACTAGCAATCAAGTTGAAGGAAGACCAAACCTGTTGAAGTAAGATGGTACATAGGCATAATTTTGTGAACATTCCTCATAATTCTGTGAATATTCCCTAAACTTACGGTTTTTGGATATGCAGTGTACAGTCCCTACAATTTTCAACCAGGAGGTTGAGAATAAAGGGAGATACGTTTGGAAAATGCTAGAACACAAACCTGAAATATTTTAGTGTGGGTGGAAACAAATCATCGATGGGATTCAACCGGTGTTACTACCGGTTTGGTGACTATGTTTTGCGTACGTGTAAAGAAATCTTTAGCTGTGCCGCCTGGACAGCTGAAAAGCGCTTGTGAGCAGGTGCGCAGCATTTGAAAAGCCATTTTTTCCTGCTTTTTCAACCTCAGCTGTGCCGCACAAAGCAGCTGAGGTTGAAAAAGCAGGAAATAAAGGACAGGTAAGAGCCCAGGTGGGTGGGTGGGCCAAACAGCATCAAACACAGAACTGGTTCGGTGTCTGCTGCTCTTCAGAGCTACCGGGTAACATCCCACCCCTGGAACAAATACTATTGTCAATGTAGATCTACTGAACAGGGAGTTACAATTGGTTGTAACTCACTGAATGAAGTTACTGAAAGTTAAAGGTAGTCCTTGTTTAGTGACCGTCTCATATAGTGACCATTCATAGGTTCTCATATTTATGACCTTTACAGGTCTTCAAAGCAAAGGGAAGTTGAAGAAAGTTGTGTTTTCATTTAGTGACCGTTTTGCTTAATGACTGAATTGTCAGTCTGTTTTAGTTGCCAAATGAGGATTACCTATACAATAAAGAAATCTGGAGGTTAAGAAATAGAAACAAAGATTTCAGATGCAGAATAATCAATATCCCACTGACCAAACTTTTTATCCCACAAATCTATTTAAAAGTAATTATTTTCCCAATCGACTTTTCCTAAGTAGAATATTCTGAAGGGGAAGCATTCCAAAGAAAGGGATGAAGCTAATATGTGGGAAAAAAGGTTAAAAAAAAGTAGAAATGGCTGTACTATAGCAAGTGCATAACTGAAGCTCACTAATTTTATATATGTGTTGCATACAAAAGGCAGGATCAGTTGCATAGTTTGGCTGCCATCTTGACTTTTTTTAACCTCTCCCATAATGCTCCTATTTTTAAAATAATAAGAGGACACCTTTTAAAAGAAAAATTTTTCAGAACAAGCAACAAGCACAGATTCCTGTGACCTGTTCTTCAAACTTTTCAAAGGTCAGTGATTTTTTCAACTGCATTGTAATAGGTATTTTATCCACACTGTGTTTTAGGTCCCAAGAGACAAACGTGAAGACAGAAAAATCTGCAATAAAACCAACATGTTATAAAAACAGATTCTTATTTAAACCCCATTTTAAAATGTTTTTTAAACCTCCCACGAGAATCCTTTTATACTGTATTTCAATTTGTCTTCCATCTGCAAAAAAAAAAAAAAGAAATATATTTTATATCTATACTACCAATGCATTTCCATGTTTTTCCCATTAAAATGTATATTTCAAATACAAATTGGTGGGGGAATTGTCTGCCATACTTCAGGTTATCAAAAAGGAAGATTATTCATTTAAAAGAAACACTACAGGAGGAATATATTGTTCCCTCATTTGCAAAAGTAAAAAGTGGCTACAATCTACATGTACGTAATTACAAAAAGAAGAAGCAAAAATTTCTCCAGATACTAGGAAAATAGGCCGATAGGATGGCATGATGTCATATCATTTTGCCAGCAAAATATTCATGTATTTAATTCATGGTAACCTCTCAAAGACTAAAGAAATGCCCACTGTATGGAGGCACAACTTTAACTTCCCATATCATGGGAGGTATATAAAAATACAGGTAGTCCTTGACTTACAACCATTCCTTTACTGACATGTTTGAAGTTACAACAGCACTGAAAAATAATTGTCGCACTTAATGACCACTGCAGCATCCCCATGTCCATGGGATCAAAATTTGGACGCTACACAACTAGCTTCTGGAAAACTAAGCCAATGAGGAAAGCCGGATTTCCTTAATGACCACATGGTTCACTTAACAACTGCAGTGATTTCCTTAACAGCTGTAGCCAAAAGTTGATAAAACGGGGCACCATTCACTTAAAAATGGTCTTACTTAGCAACGGAGATTTGGGGCTCAATTCTGGTCATAGGTCGAGGACTACCTGTATGCAAATGAAAATCATGTAGTTATAATGCAAGAACCCCCACGGATCAAGTTACCCATTGCATAGAATTTTGTGCCATGAGTGATTTCAAAAACTGCGAAGAATGAATGCATAGCTAAATTGAAAGGAGAACACGTCTCTTTCCAAGATAAATGGAGAAGTTCCTCTGTTGTAAGTCACTCTTTTTTCCGGAGGTGGATGTAGACAATCCCACTGACAAGAGCCAAGGGAAAAGCAAGCCAGGCTAGCACGAAGCAATGACCATAAGAGCCACCAGGCATTCGGCTTTGCTGGAACGTGCCCACATGGATAGTGTAGATCAAGGCAGCTGTGAACACTGAGGCAGCTGGGAAGAAACCAATAAAAGGTGAAGTAGGATCAAGTTATAGCTCCATCTTGCTTCCTCTTTTTCAGCAAGCAACCCAAAATATAATCAGATCTTTCCCATTTATATAGACAATTCCTAGAGTGCAAAATCTTACTAGCCGTCTATTCAGATCAGCAATAAGCACCCCAGGATCAAAGAATTCAGAGCACGAGAGCTAAGTGGGAAGAATGGAGGGATGGAGGCAGGGGAGAGACTTATGATGTTTGGGAAGTTCTTAAACTACAACTTCTTATTGGTAATTCTGATTGGAATAGCTGGGATCAGCCTTTCTTAACCTTGACAACTTTAAGACAGGTGGACTTCAACTCCCAGAATTCCCCAGACAGCCATTTTGGTTTGGGAATTCTTGGAGTTGAAGTCCACCCATCTTAAAGTCACCCATCTAAAGGCTATTTGAAGAGCCAAGCTTTGCCACTCCTGAGCTCCACTTCTTAACTGGGGCTTGCAAGGTCCTTACATTAAAAAAATAATTTGGGCAAATGGAACACAACCAGATTCATCCGGGATTCCAATGAAATAGCTGAACATTTTGCAAATCATTCCAATTAAGTTAGACCTTAACATGCTAGGGAATTCTGGGAGTTGAAGTGTACACACCTTCAAATGGCTACAGTTGAGAAACTTTGATTTATGCAGTGCCCCCTTCCATTTACATTTTGCATACGGAAATATCCGTTCCCCTACAACTTAGCCTCAATTTCTTCCTTGTAGATGCTACCACCTCTCTTGTACTGTGATTTTACAGCCTCCAAATGATGATTAAATTGGACTCTTACCAGTCAATATTTGGAAAATTCCCGTGGCATAAAACAGGCTTCCCCGCTTCATCGTGTAAAGCTGCCACATGAAAATAATGAAGGCTAAACTGGAGAAAAGAAGGCTTAAAACCATGAATGCCTGGACACCATGAAGCCATTCTGGGGAGAGAAACCATTGAAGAGAAAAGACCATTAAGAGCAGACCTTACCAATCAGCCCTCTCCAGTAAATTTTCCAGCAGCCTAAATGGCTAAAGCATTTCAATCATGTTTACTGGGAAATTTTGAGTGCTGAGGAGCACCTGGTTTGGGAAAGGCTCCATAAATGCTCTCTATCTTGAAGCAGAATAGTGAAAATCACACAACCATACCATAAAACCTTTTCTCCACCCTCTTGCCAAGTTTGGTCCTTTCCTGCAGATTTTCGGAAATGATCAGGCTGTGTGCGAGGGAGGGGTTAAACACATCATAAGTCATGAGTCTCAGCGTGCCCATAAGAGATCTAAGTCCAGCCCATCTCAAATAGCTTCTCGCTCATTTCCCTTGACTTTTAGTAGCTCAGATTCTTGCAGAGAGCTTAAGCTTGCAATAGATTTTTATATACATTTGAACTGCCTAAATCTCCTGATTTCCCTGACATTTGACACAGCTGATCCTGCGCCATTTCCACAAAACTCAATTTATACTCACTACTGTCAGACACCGGGTGACAAGTCCAATTCTGGTGCTGATTATCCATCAGACATTCATTCCAGATGTTCACTGAGTCACTATTAGGCAGAACCCACCATGACTAGGACAAAAACAAAAAACAAAAAAACAAAGACAGAAAAGTTAGGACAGAAATGATGAAGCCAAAGAGGGTCACCTTTCCAAATGGGAGAATGAGTGTTAATAAACTGCCTTCAACCCATAACTGGTTGGGGAATCCAAATAAAATCTCATTTTTGCAATGCCAGCAGGAGACCCTATACCATTTCAGAAGTGGCTATCCAGTCTCTTCCGAAAGACCTCCAGTGATGGAGCACCAACAACTTTAAAGGCAAGTTGTTCCACTAATCAATTGTTCTCACAGTTAGAAAGCTTCTCCTTTATTCCAAGTTGCTTCTATAGATAGCTAGGCAGAATAAATGAATGAATGCAGTGGTGGGACTCAATTTTTTTTGCTACCGGTTCTGTGGGCATGGCTTGGGCATGGCTTGGTGGGCGTGGCAGAGGAAGGATTTTGCAAAGTCCCCATTCCCTCCCCACTCCAGGAGGAAGGTTATAATAAAATCCCCATTCCCTCCCCACCCCACTAACCTGCTTTCCAGCTCCGTTCTCCTGTGCAGGGCAACAAAAGAAGACCCAGCCGATCTGCTGGGACTCAGGAAGCAGAGAATAGATGGGGGAGCTGGGACCAGTCAAAGGTGGTATTTGCTGGTTCTGCAAACTACTCAAAATTTCCGTTACTGGTTTTCCAGAACTGGTCAGAACCTGCTGAATACCACCTCTGAATGAATGAATGAATGAATGAATGAATCCTTGAAATTGAATTGCATATTATACAGGCAGTCTTCAAATTTATGATTGATCTCTTAGCAACCAATCAAAGTTCAAATAGTCCTACTTTGATACTATTATGACCTGGATTCAAGTTCTGACGGTCGCCCCTCTCCTCATTACTATATGACTAAACTTCAAGCACTTAGCAACACAACTGCATTCGGAAACATTTGCATTTTTCATGGTCACATGACTTCCCTTTATAACAGTTTCACCCAAAATCAACGCTTCCGATATTATTAAAAAAAACACCATCCATTCATTTAATGACCATGGGGCTTCACTTAATGATTGCTGCGAAAAAGATTGTAAAATGGACTCTGTCCTATGACTGGCCCATTTTATGACTATCATGACCTACAATCAAGATGGACAAGCTCCATTACGATCATAATTAGGACCACCTGAACTGTAATTGTAAAATTTGTTTCTCCCTCCTGTGCAATCAGGGAGGGAAAATATATTCAATGGAACAAGAAGCATTTGAAAACATTCTGGCTTTCCAAATATTTTTCCACAACTTTTTCTCTTTAAGCTTTTCTTCTGTAATTGGTTTTATGTGCAGTCTGGTAGTGATCCTGCCAAGCTCTGGAAAACTACAGATTCCTGAATCCTTATAACTTCTCCAAATCTCAGTTCTTCTTTCCTGGTATGGGCCCATTCTGTCCCCTCGCTCTATTCCTTCGTTTTCTTCTCTTAGTGGACACCGATTTTGATTTTTTTTTAAAAAAAAAAGATGTCATATACAGGTAGTCCTCGACGTATGACCACAATTGAGCCCAAAATTTATGTTGTTAAGTGAGAAATGTATTAAGTGAGTTTACCCCCATTTTATGATTTTTTTTTTCCTCACCACATTTCCTCACTGCAGTTCTTAAATTAGTACCATGGGGGTTAAGGGAATCTGGTTTTCCCCGTTGAGTTTGCCTGTTAGAAAGTAGCAAAGGATGGTCGCATGACCATGGGATGCTGCAACCATCATAAATGTGAGTCAGTTGTCAAGCATCCAAAGGTAAATCACGTGACCATGGGGATGCTACAATGGTCTTAGGTGTGAAAAATGGTCATAAGTCACTTTTTCCAGTGCCGTTGTAACTTTGAATGGTTGAACTGTTGTAAGAACTACCTATTCAACTGTTGAGAACTACCTATTCAAGTAATCCTCAACTTACGACCAATACTTTAGTGACCGTTCAAAGTTACAACGGCATTGAAAAAACTGATTTATGCCCATACAGCATCCCTTGTACCTTATGAGCACAGGATAGAGCACCAAGAGCATCCCTTTGGCGAAACATAGGCAGAAATCCAACAGGTGACTTTTCTTCTTTTCCACTGTGGCCAGGAGGGAAGGAAAAACGATTAGTCCTCAACTTATAAACATTTGTTTGGTGATCATTCTAAGTACAACAGTACTGAAAAAAGTGATTTATGATCTTTTTTCACACTTACGACTGTTATAATATTCCCATAGTCACATTATTAAAATTGGGATAGTTGGCAACTGGCTTGTGTTTATGACGGTTGCATGGCCTGAGGTCGTAGGATCCCCTTTTGTGACCTTCTGACAATGGGGAAGCCAGATTCACTTAACAACTGTGTTACCAACTTAACATCTGCAGTGATTCACTTAACAACTGTGGCAAGAAAGGCCGTAAAATGGGACAAAACCCACTTAACAATTGTCTTGCTTAGCGATGGAAATTTTGGTCTCAATTGTGGTCACAAGTCGAGGACTATCTGTATTTAGGCCTCCTGAAGGTGTAACTGGTGGAAACCCTAATCTACTATAAAAGAATCAAGTTTGGGGAGCAGCAAAAGGGAAAAGTTGCATGGGGAGAAATAAACAAAAGAGTTAAAACAAATCTCTTGCAAAATTACTTTCACTCCAAGTGAAACAACAGGGGACACAATGTAATGTATCCATTAAATGTCTCAAACACAAACATTTTAAGGCAGGGTTTCTCAACCTTGCAATTTTAAGATGTGCGGACTTCAACTCCCAAAACTCCCCAGCCAAATTGGTAGCTGGCGAATTCTGGGAATTAATGTTCACCCACCTTCAAGCTGCCAAAGTTGAAAAACACTGCCTTGTGGAATTCAACTGTATGGTAATTTTGGCTTATTTTATTTTGTTGGAAAGGTACAGATTCCTTATTCAAGATAAAATTATTAATGAGTTAAACAAGTCATATGTACAAATTTTTCAAAGTGGAAACAGGATTCATGGTTGCAACCCAGCCTTTTCCTGTGTTAACAGGCATGGTTCTGCGATTTTTTTTAATCAACAAACTACTAATCCTGAAGGGTTTGTCAGAGATTCCTGAAGCAAGGAAAGAGACACAGATTTGTTTGTTCAAATCTGTCTCTTTCCCCAGCAGAGGTTCAAAATGCTGCCACTGACAATTCATCATTCAAAACAGACACACATACACACAAAACCATCTTAAATCGGAGGGGGTTAATATCAACAATCTTCCCAAAACTAGTTGTCAGACTAACAAAATATGCAGATAGAGACATTTCCTTTGGGGATCAGTATAAAGCAGAATAAGACAATCTTTTATTTAAAGAAATCTGTTTTAAATTTAAAGGAGAAAAAAGAAATGTACAATACTTTAAGCTAAAAAAAATCAAGCCCATAAAGGTTTTTCAGGTTGTGTTATATTCCCCATCAGAGTTTTAGTTGGTGCTCATTTCCCAAATACATTTTTGTTTACCTTTTAAGAGGGCTCTTCCAAAACATAAAGGGTGTGCATAAGTATGTTTACAGATGTGTAAATAACTCTGCTTTGGGGGAGAAACAAAGACCAATTAGAAATGCAAGGAGCAAGAAGAATTTCAGGCAGAAATATAATGCCATCCGGAGTCTTTGAAGTGTCTATGGCCTTCTCCTAGGCTTTACTCTTGACATCTGAGGAGCAATTATTTTGAATAAAAAAAACTGTGGCTGGCATTTTCAAGGGATTCTCTTCAGATCAGTTTATGTGAATCCTTCACACATATTTAGCTTATGAATATATCTTATTATTCTTAACAGAGAGATGAGTAAATCTGTAGAAGCCAAGATCATCTGGAGCACATCTGAATGTCCTTTAACTGCCTTTAACTTTGGTTCAAAGTCTTTGGCTAGCCAATCTTGAAGAAAACAACCAGATGACATAGCCTTCATCTTTAGCTCTTAAACCAAGGCAGATTAATTTCTTATTTTTCTGAACGGAAAACTTCTCTTCTCTTCATACCAGCCTTGTTACCCACATAACTGGTTGTTTGATGGTGATCAAACTTCTATTGCAAAAGGTGAGAGATCAAGCCAACTACGTCAATGTGTCCTTCATTTTTATCATTATTTTTTCAGCAACAGATAGTGATGATGGGTAGAAGTAAGTTGTTCAGCATTTTTTTCCTTTATTCCAACCCACGTTACTATATGTGTAAAACCTTCATCCCAGCAATAAATATTTTATCACCTGGATAAATAGGTGATGGTTACATACTAAAATATAGAAGGAGGTTAGAATGGCTTGTTAATGTAGAAGAAAAGGCGGGACTTAGGGAGAGGTGGAGTCAAGGAAGCAATCAGTCTGGAGTCCTTTCATTCCCACAAGCAATCCAACTCCCTTTGAATTCTGTTGACTCTTATCTAGCGCCAGTTTAGTGCTGGTCATTAGTTGACTAGATTCTTGTGTATAAGTACGAGCAATAAATTAGCTTAACTGCAACTTAACATGTGATCCTGATTCTTCCTGCCTGATAGCTATGGGGTTTGTTTTTTCTTCCAAGTGAAATGCTGAGCAAAATTATTTACTATCCTTGATTAAAACCCGGTACCTCATCAAAGAGTCAGATAAAATTGTCCCTACAATTGAGCTTACTAAATCATGCAGCACCCCTTGCGAAGTCCAGATGGCTAGGTAATTCTGAGAATAGTAGCTAACAGAACTGGGCAGAGAAGGGTAGGGAATGTTGAACTAGCTAAGCAGCTGTCAAACAAACATTAAACCTGCAGATTAAGCACTGAAAAATTTCAGTTCTTGCTTACCTTATCCAAGGTGGCTACAAAGAGTAAGATGAGGATAAGAACGTGGAGGGCTGTGACGGCAAAAAGAAGGAAACTCATCCTGGAAGCTGAATGGAGAGAAGAAAAACAAGGATTAAGCTTACACGTTTCCTTCCTCGCGGCTGGTTAAACCAACTTGGAACCAGTATTCCCAACCAATATTAATTCCACTGTGTCTCCCCAAACTGATAAATTCTGCTCTCTCCAGATTCTGCGTCCCATAAGCTTCCTCTCTGTTATCCAGCCGTTTCCCATGTCCCTTTTCCAAGGATTCACAAATCTCAATTCCAAAGGGGGGGAAAAAATGAAAATTTTCTCCCGTTACCCAGACCTTAGCCAGTTTATTCCAAATTGCCTCAGGATGCTCAGATTTTGAAGCCCGTCCTTAAATGCAACGTATTTCCTCCTACCGCATGTCAAAGAAAGAAGAATCTGGGCTCCTGCAGCTAGTTTAAATTCCTGTGGCTGTAAGCCTGGCTTAATATGATCCAGATGTTCTGGAATTATGTGAGCTGTGGGCAAGAGGGAGGGAGGTAAAAAAGGGGTAGTAATTGCCTAGCTATGTTGCCGCCCTTTTCAGGCCCATCAAGATTGCACACGCGCTCGCATACAGTTTGTTTTCCTCCAAACGGTGAAGAGGGAGTCTGGTGTTTTTCAACCATGGCAACTTTAAGACATGTGGACTTCTATCCTAGGAATTCTGAGAGTTGAAGTCCACATGTCTTAGTATCATAGCTGGAAGGGACCTTAGAGGGACCCCTACCCATGGCAGGAGACCTTGTGTCATCTCACACAAAAGGTTGTCCAATCTTTTGTTGCTAAAGTTGAGAAACGTCATAATAGGCAGTGCAGAGCAGAGAAAAGAAATCTGGGGCTGTGTTTAGAATTAAGCAATAAATGTTTCCACTTTTCTCATCTGAATCTTATTGCTAGTTGTTTTTTTTCCCCCAGTTTGTTTTAGTGCCAAAATTCCCCTCGCTATATGGTTTCATGGATGAGGAATGTGGCTCAGGTTTGTGTTTTCTTCCACACTGTCAAATTTATCACCAGGTATTCCATTAACAACAAATCTGATTCTCTAGTGGGGTTACTTGTATGATCATATTCTGGCTGCAATCTATGAGTTACATTTCTACTTTGCAATGTACTTATTAATCTGGCATTTAAAACAGATTTAATACAGGTAGTCCTCGACTTAAGACCACAATTAAGCTCAAAATTTCTGTTGCTAAGTGAGATGGGTATGAGTTTTGACCCATTCTATGACCTTTCTTGCCATAGTTATTAAGTGAATCACTGCAGTTGTTGTTAGTAACATGGTTGTTAAATGAATCTGGCTTCCCCATTGACTACTTGTCGGAAGGTCACAAAAGGTAATCACATAACCCAAGGACATTGCAACCATTGGAAATATGAACCAGTTGCCAAGCATCCGTATTTTGATAATGTGACCATGAGGATGCTGCAATGGTCACAAGTGTGAAAACCGGTCATGTCACTTTTTTTAGTGCTGTTGTAATTTTGCTATTAAATAAATAGTTTGTAAATAGAAGACTATCTATAATTCATCACCTTCAACTTATGAATGGAAGAATTTTGGCTAATCCATTAATTCAATTGTTTTGGATAATTCAAGCCATCTTTAATCTATTGTAGTTCATACCATAAAATGTGCTGGCCAGAGGGCTGTTGAAAATTGAAGCTTAACCCCAACCATAACTTGGCCAATGATATGAGGCATCGGAATTTTTGACTTGGCAATATTTGGGAGGTCCCATGTTACTCATCCCCAAACTCTAGCATGGATGACCAATTCTCTGAGGTTTAATCACATGATACTGAGATGGGAGTCATACATTATTGTTACTTAAAATAAAATGGAAGTGGCCTAAATCTTGTAAAATCTCATCTGGGCAGTGTGAGACAACAATAGCAACATTGTCCTCCTCCTCTAGTAAGAAAACATTTTGGGGTCAAGTCTCACTAATGGCCTTCAAATTCCTGAGCTTTGAAAAAAAAATCATTTCATGTTTTGAATAGTTCTTAACCTTTTGTATCTTGAGTCCTTGTTAGAGCCAGGTGAAACCTACAGGTCCCTTCTCAGAAACCTATTTTTACATGTATAAAATAAAATAGTGAAACCAGTTGTAAATGTTATCCCATCAAAGTCCACAAACACCCCCTGAAATCTATGCATAGGCCTCCAACTCCACAGACTACAGGTTAAGTATCCCTGTTTTAGAATAAAATAAGACACCCAATCTGGTGTCTTCTATAGCTGAGAATTCCAGGAGCTGTAGTCCCCATATCTCTCTCTGTGTGTGTATTAATTGGATAATATGAGTGTAAACAATGGATAACCACAGATATGTCAGATATTCTGAGTATGGCTGCAGTTTAGCAGATCTCATTATTATCCACTTTGTCATGCTTTTCAATCTGATCTGCTTCTTCACTTAAGACTCAATATTATTCTTGAAGGGACATTTCCTTCATTTGTAATCTAAACAGAAATTCTCCATGGACTAAAACTTGATTGTTAAAATTCTCTTCTGCTTTCTGGTTTCACATGGACATAACTGCCAAGTGACATTTTTCAGACTAAAAAAGGCGTTCCCTTCCTTGAGTAATTCTCCACCAAGAATTGGAGTTTCCTGACCTAGGCAGTAAACAACCTTCTCCGACCAAGGAGAAAATCAGAGGATGGCTAGACCAGGAAGGCTGTGAAAGAGTTAACCTACTGCTAAATCAAAAGGCACTCGTTCTTGGAAAGTTTGGTTACTCTGCAAAGATGCCCAAAACTGCATAATTATAAGGTAACATACACAAAAATAAGTTCTGCAAACTTGGCAGCCCTCCCTGCCCTACAAAAAAATAGGGGAAACCTTGAACAATGCAGCATACGATTAAAATGAAGCACTGTTGTATTGGAAGAGATGTACAGGTAGTCCTCGACTTACAACCACAATCCAAAATTTATGTTGCCATGTGAGAAATTTGTTCAGTTTTGCCCCATTTAATGACCTTTCTTGTCCCATTTGTTAAGTGAATCACTGCAGCTGTTAAATTAGTAACACTGTTATTAAGTGAATCTGGCTTTTCCATTGCTTGTCTGGTCACAAAAGGAGATCATATTACCCTGGGACACTGCAACCATCATACCTATGAGTCATTGCCAAGTATCTGAATATAATTCTATGACCATGAGCATGCTGCAACGGGCATAAGTGCAAAAAATGCTCATAAGCCACTTTTTTCAGTGCTGTTGTAACTTTGAAGTCACAAAATGAACTGTTGTAAGTTGAGGACTACCCTGTAATTGAAGGAAAGTTTGCATAGAATGAACTATGCTTTCCAGCACACAATATTCTGTATGTATTTATTCAGCAAAATTTATAGCCAATGAGACTTTTTTTCTGAGTATGTGTGCATTGGGCTCCAGATTTAATTTAAAATTCTATGGGCAGTCCTTGACTTTCAACCGTTCATTTAGTGACTGTTAGAAGTTACAATGGCGGTCCAAAGTGATTTACAACCGTTCTTTGCACGGTATCCCCGTGATCATGTGATCAAAATTTAGGTGCTTGGCAACCAGCATATTATATTTACAAAGTCAGTGCTGGAAACCATTGCCAACAACCACCTAACTGCAGTGATTCATTTAACAACCACGGTGAAAAAGGTAAAATTGGATGTGACTCACTTTACAACCACCTTGCTTAGCAACCGAAATTCTGGCCTCAATTTGATCGTAACTCAAGGACTACCTGTATTTAAATCTTAAAAGTTATATGGTAATCTGCATGAAATCACTTTTTCATTTTCAAAAGTCTTCCATCTTGTCCTTTCTGACAGATTTAAAAGCTGCTTAACAGGGTACAACAAACAGAAAGAAATCAAATGTATTAACCATAAGTGAGTTGGGTTTTGCATTCGACTGGGATGTAATAAACCCATTTTAGAAGCGCATCTAAAATGGGGAATCTGTAGTTTTCCAGATGTGGCTGAATGGCAACTCCTACCAAAAGCCCCAACAAACAGCAAGGACCGGAGAGCAATTGGACAACACCCTCAGGAAGATCATACATGTCCACCTCCTTCTTTACAACTTCTCACACCCAGATTTTCCCCAATACAGTTGGTTTGGAATGAGGGCAGAACTGAAACCCCTAAAAGTTTATTTTATGCCAAAATTTCTCGCACTCCACACCCCCTGCTACTTCTCCAACAACATCCCTCTGCCTCCCAAGAATGAGCGTTTTGAAATCTATTAAGAATCTCGATTGGCCAAAAATTTGGGGGTTCGAGAGATGGAGCCTCCCATTGGCAGCTATTCCACTACCTTTTCCCCTCAATAATTTTAAATTAAAAGTTTGATAAAGGAATGTAAGCATAACATGCCTTCGGACTCTCTCTCTCTCTCTCTCTCTCTCTCTCTCTCTCTCTCTTTAAAAAAGACTGCTGTTAACAGACTAGCCAAAATACGGTGCCAAGCGATTTAAAAAAAAAAAAAAACACTCAACGAAAGCAACGATCCGCGTCCAGAAAGCAAGGCGCGAAGAATAAGGGATGTTGGGCGGGTGAGAAAAGCGATCGCTGGAGAAAGGATGGGCGGTTTAGGGATTACATTAGATGGCGGGGAAGGCGGGGGGCGAGTAGATCGGCCGTCTGATAGGACGGCGCCGTTTCTCTCCCTTCTCCCGATCCTTTTCCAGCGAGTAAAGAAACCGCTTGCTGTCCTTCGTCGCCTTCCCGCCTCTCACGAGTCCTCCCCAAGTCTTGAACTGATGAGATCTCGCACCCCTCCCTCCTAAACCCCTAAGAAAGTCTATCCTCCCCCCCCCCCCCACATACATATCGATTCTCACTTCGATCAGAACGACCCACTCGCAACTTTCTCTCCTTCCCGAGCGAGTTTAATTACCTGTTGGAAGCGCAGGGCTGGGCAGGGGTGCAGCCGATCGGTCGCCGTGGGCGCTCAGTGCTTTCCTCGGAAGTTTTTTTCCTCTGGACAGCCCCCGCTTTTTCTTTTTTTTAATACAAATTTAGTTCATCCTGCTCGTACCACGTTCTCCTCGCCCTGCCCTTGGCTTCTGGCCATGTGGGTGGGAGCAGAGAGCGCGTGGCTGGCCAGACGCCTCAGAGAAGAGAACTGGGGGAAAGGATGGGCCGGGGTGGGGGGTGGGGGTCGCTTTAGAGACCCCCCCCGGCTTTTCCAGAGGGCTGGGTCGCTTCCCCTCCCCTCTGCCTCATTTTTGCCAGTTGCTGCAAGGAGAGGCAGATTCAGGTACTCCTTGACCTGTCACACAATTGAGCCCAAAATGTATGTTTTTAAGTGAAAAATGTGTTAAGTGAATTTGTCCCATTTTACGATTTTTCTTGCCACATTTGTTAACTGAATCACTGCTGCTGTTAAATTAGTAACATGGTTGTTAAGTGAATCTGGCTTCTCCATTGACTTTCCTTGTCAGGAAGTCGCAAAATGACTCCTGAATACTGCAACCGTCATAAATATGAGTATCACGTGTAAATCATGTGACCACTGGGATGCTATGCTGCAACTGTCATAAGTGTGAAAAATGGTCATGTCACTTTTTTCAGTGCCTTTGTAACTTAGAATAGTCGCTAAATGGACTGTTGTAAGTCGAGGACTACCTGTAGTTCTTGACCCATGACCACAGTTGAGCCCAAAATTTTCATTGCTAAGCAAGACGTTAAGTGAGTTCAGTCCCATTTTAGGACCTTTTTTTGCCACAGCTGTTAAGTGAATCGCTCCAGTTGTTAAGTTAGTGACCCGACTGTTAAGTTTGCTTGTCAGAAAGTCACAAAAAGGATTCACATAATCCCGGGTCACTGTGACATCATAGATATGTTCCAGTTGCCAAGCATCTGAATTTTGATCACATGACCATCGGTATCCTGCAACGGTCATCAGCATGAAAAATACTCATAAGTCACTTTTTTTCAGTGATGTTGCAACTTCAAATGGTCACTAAACGAATAGTTGTAAGTCAAGGACTACCTGTTTTCTCCTCCCTTCAGCCTATGCGGGGAGGGAAAAAGAGTCACCTGTTGGATTTCTGCCTGTATCTCACCAAAAAGACGAACCAGGAGGAAGGAGCAGTCTTGGTGCTTTCAGAAGTTGTGGGAGCTTTGTTAGAGATACACCCTAGCAGAATTTGCACGGCAGTCAGGCAGGCAGGCAAATATGTGAGATAAACGTTTTTGTAGCTTACACTCAGTAAAACAGATACACTGTGCTAGTTAAATAGTTTATTCCAGTAAGAGTTTTATCATAGTCAAACGGTCCATATATCATTCACTAGTTCAGTCCGTTCGGGGATTATTCAGTTGCAAAGTCCAGTGTCGAAAAAGAGGTTAGTAAACTTACAAATATCAGTCCAGTAATATATATCCTCGCAGTAGAGATATAAAGAAGTCAAACCTCCTTTCTTCCTTCCACGTTCAAAAACTCAGCAGCAGGGAACACGCAGTTAGCAAACCATCAATCCAGCATAGTCAGCAATCCAGCAGGTTCTCTTGCTCCCTCTTATGGCGGTTTTACAACCGCACCCAAAATTACATGCTTTGCAGTTTAAAGTGACACACACTTAAACTTACTATCATAGTTTATATATATTATTTTACCCAAACTACGTTAGGTAACCTTGTTATTCCTAACAAGCTTCATCACTAGAAGCTTTCCAGGAGAGACTGGACTGTCATCTGTCAAAAATGGTGTAGGGCAGGGCTGTCAAACTCGCGGCCCACAAACCAGATGTGTCACATGCTGGTTTAGCAAACCACTCCCGGTTTAGCAAAAGGGGAAAAAGTCCTGATATGTCACAGGACACAGCCTTGACAGTGTGAGTTTGGGACCTCTGGTGTAAGGCCTGCTTGGGCAGGGGGGCTTGGACTAGATGATGTATAAGGTCTCTTCCAACTCTGTTAATCTGTATCCTGTGCTCAGACTGTACAAGTGATGCCGCACAGCTCGAAATTCAGGATTGACATCTTATTACAGCCCTCTTTAGAGATTCACCTCTGATCAGACCATTCCTATTCTTTGTGGTTTGATAGGCTTCATTTGCCCCAAAACTGGTGCCTTTGAGTTCTTGTAAACTCATGCTTGAGTCAGATATCCAGCCACTTTGTCTTCTCTGCACAGGTAGCCCACAACTTAAGGCAGGGATGTCAAACTCGTTTTCATTGAGAGCCACACTGGGGTTGTTTGACCTCACGGCTAGGGGATGGGCGTGGCCACCCATGACGTCACAACTCGGGCTGTTGTGGCCTGAGCAGTCTGCCAGAAAAAACGGGCTCCTGAGCTCTGTTTTCAGCATCGATGGCCTCCTGCAACCCTCTGCCAGTGAAAACAGAGTTCAGGAGGGCTGCACACAGCCCTACTGAGCTCTATTTTCACTGGCAGAGGTACCGGCTAGTCCTTCACTGTTTCCACGGTAGCCCCACAGGCCAGATCTAAGCACCCCGTGGGCTGGATCAGGACCGCAGGCCTCGAGATTGACACCCCTGACTCAAGCTTATACTTGAAACCAGGATGCTGCTAAACTAGGCAATTGTTAAGTGAATCGCAACTGATTTTACAATCTTTTTTTTTTTTTTGCTGTGTTTGTTAAGTGAATCGCTTAATCGTTGCCAAGTGCCCAAATTTTGATCACATCATTATGGGGCTGCTGCAAAAGCCATTAGTGCAAAAATCAGTCATTTCTTTCTTTCATTTCTTTCAGGGCCATTGTAACTTCAAATGGTTGCCAAATGAACAACTGTGAGAGGAGGATTACCTGTTCTTTCTTTTCAATTGCCTTTCATTTTCCAGTATCGGGATCTTCTCCAGTGATTTCTGCCTTTGTCTTCTGTGTCCAAAATATTTAAACATTAGCTTCATTTTCAGTGTTTCTGATGAGTAATCTAACTTTTACCTCATCAAGGACATCAATTTCGCCCAGTGCCACTATTTGCTTCTTGTTCATTCAACTTTTGACATAGCCCAGCTTTCATTTCCCTATTTTACAATTGGAAAATCTATCGCCTTGATGGTATATACTTGGTTGTCAACAGGATGTTTCTGAACATTCATGTTCTATTTGGATTGCATTCACTGTGTGTGTTCAGAATGGGGTCACCCTCTCTGCTCACTTTGGATATATGTTGGGTTACCATCTTGTTTTCAGAGCAAGAAAGCTCAAACCAAATTCCATCTAACAATGCTCCAGAGTCAGGCATCAGTAAAGGTAGTCCTCAACTTACAACAGTTCGTTGAGTGATCATTCAAAGTTGCATTGGTACTGAAAAAAAGGATTTATGAATAGTTTTCACACTTATGACTATTGTAGCATCCCTAGGATCATGTGATCAAAATTCAGATGCTTGGCAATTGACTCATACTTATGACGGTCACAGTGTGCCGGGATCACCTGATCATCTTTCGTGACCTGACAAGCAAAGGCAATGGGGAAACCAAATTTACTTAACAATAGTTTGACCAATTTAAGAATAACTTAACAACTGTTAAGCAAGAAAGGTTGTAAAATGGGGCAAACTCACTTAACAAATGTTTCACTTAGCAACATAAATTTTGGGCTCATTTGTGATTGTAAGTCAAGGACTACCTATACTCTTTTATTTTTATGGCTTTTTTCTCCTCCAGCTCTTTTTGATTCTCTAACAAATACACACACATAGATTTTGGACACCATAAAAGCAAACTAATATTATTCTGGCATGTCCTTTCATGGACTGTAATTCTCCTCCTTAGATTCTTTTGGCATTATCCTCAGCTGGCAGTTATTTTCCCTGGCAGGAAAATATGTCTACTGCATTGGAGAAGAAGAACTGAAGGGGAAAGGTGCAAAAAAAAAAAAAAAAAAAAAGATACACAGAGAGAAATGTTGCTAGGCTAAAATCTAATTTAGCACTCTAATAGTGGCCAACCACTTATCCTTAGCAGCTGCTGTTCAGTGGTACATTATCTCTGAACACAGAGAATCCATTTAGTCATTAGTATTAGTAGGAGTTTTATATATTATGCAGTTATAGCTAAGCACAGTACAGATATAGAATAAAACCTATTCTATAAAGAATAAATTTATGCTATAATGTTCTATTATAATTACATTATAATGTAAATTTAGAGCCTCTAAGTTAAGAGGACTTTGTCATATAATATCATTCACTACACATATTCAATTTAATGGGTGAAAAATATATTTTAAAGCAATTTCAGAAAGACCCATGGAAAAGAAGCATTTAAATGCTTTATTTCAAGTTTCTATCCACTTCAGGTGATTTAATTCCACAGGTAGTTTTGTGAGTGTCTTTTCAAAGAACTACAACTAGGTGAGAAAGACTCTTAATAAACAAGTCACTATTATCTTTATTAAAATAAGTCTAATTAAGAAATCAATCATGCATTAAACAAATTGGGTACCTTCCAGCTGCACTGAAATTGCAATCCAAAAATTTCAGTCAGCAGGATAATTCTAATCAAGAATTCTCGGTGTTGTGCTCCCGATCTATTTGTGGCACAACACAGTCTCCAAATAACGAATTTGTCCAGATCCCAGTTAAAGGCTATTAGTACATCATTTTATTGGGGTAAATAATAATTAATCAGAGATTCTATAAAAAAATACTTTTAGAAATCTGCAAAACACAAATTTTCATTTGCATTTGTTTAATACAACCCCAAAATTTGGTAAGATTTAGGATTCTAGGGCCTATCACAGCTGTTGCTGATACCTGGTTATAAAAGTGGAAATGTAACCCCTGAATTTAGTCTTACTTTCTTGAGCTGCAAAAATACAGGATGACCATTAGATGGCAATGAGGGATTAATATTTTCTGCCTCTCTTTGCTATCAGCCAGGGGTTTTATGGATTTCTGCTACCTGGATCTGATGCTCATAGTAAATATATAGAGGTAAATATATAGAGGTAGCCAGAAACTACAGATACAGAGATTTTTTTTTTTTAAATGGTGATTCTTTGGAGGGAAAGAAAAAATAGCGTACAAAATGCTGTTCATATTGGTTGTCTGTTATATTCAACCAAACCTTCCACTATTACATTTCTGGGTAACAAGTTTACAAAACTGCATCACTTTCAGAGAAAATATCCGAAGGCGCTTTACTGCTGTAAAAATAACAGCTTGCTTTGTAATACTAGGCCTATAGTAGGTAGACAATTTGATTATTTTCATCCAATTATTCACTATCTTCTTGACAGCTCAAGGTAGTTAATAATGATGGACAGGGAGATTAATTGCAAACATAATTCCATCCTCTATAAAAACATGTATAAATTGCCTATCCAACTGACCATTCATATGCAAAGTAAATATCTGAATAGAACAAATTTTGCTTCAGTGGAAAGGTAAGTTAACTCCATCTACTTTTGCACTCTTAAGATGCTATCCCATTCAAACAATATATTAAACATAAGGTGCTTCATAGTTTTTTGGTTTAGCTTTTCTTTGACCCTAGCATTTGTACTTTGAGGGTCAGTTTGGTGTAGTGGTAAAGGCACCAGACTAGAAACTTGGAGACCAAGAGTTCTGGTTCTGCCTTAGGCACAAAGCCAGCTGGCAGACTTTGGGCCAGTCACTTTCTCTCAGCCCTAGGAAGGAGGCAATGGCAAACTACTTCTGAAAAGAAGTGCCAAGAAAACTGCAGAAGGGTGTGCAGTCTCTTGTCCAGGCAGTGTCTGATAATTGGACACATTTAATGTTCGGGGGCGGGGGGGAGTACATTTGAGAACTCAGTTTGCTGTGATTAATTAAATAAACCCATATTTTAATGGGTTTGTGCAATGGATGGACCCAATCATTATCCTCAATGTTAAGATTAAGCAATCACGGGATTACACAATAAAATTATATATATTCCACAAATATCCTGATAAAAAGGGCCCCGTTTTAAAACCACAATTTGGATTAATATATGTAGTGTATATACCATAGAAAAACCAAGAATTTTTGGTGGCAAAATACACCCAAAAACTGGGTTTGGCTTATCTGCAAATTGTCTGCTAATATATATGGTATATTTACTATCTAATATGTAGTATAATGCTTTAGGTATTGGATAGAGCAGGGAAAGCTAGACTGAAGTCCTCATTCAGTCACATTAGCTCTCAGCCCAACTTATTTTACAGAAGAAATGCTATGTATGTTCTGTATACGATCTGGAGGTCCTAAATGAGCTATACATTTAACAAATGTACTGTCATCAAATTTACTACCGATACCAACATGCCATTTTGTTTATTTATTAGATTATTATCACACCTTTCCATCATGAAAGAAGGGAACAAATAAATCACATTAGATGTTTCAATTTTATTTTAAACAAAGCTGTGGTCTTTTACATATACAAGCCATCTTTTTTCTTCATGGAGATTCTTAGCAAGTGCTACCTCTTCTGGAATATGGCTGTGTTTTGTGAGATAAAAGGACTGACAAATATGGAGAATGAACAGGTAGCATGAAAATAAGTTAAGGAAACAGAATGAAATGACAAAGTACTCATTTATCTAGAAATAAGTAACAAGTGCAATGATAAAGACATTACAAGATAAAAGACATTTTTACCAAAAGACAATTTCCAGGTGTTGGAATTTCAATTCCCCACATTCTATAGCCAGCATAGCCCTTGATGAGAATTCTGGGAATTAGTTGGTAAGCACCAATCACAAGAGACAAGTGTTGTTTTCATTTGATACAGGCTGCAGAAAAGATGATTAGAGAGTAGACTCATTCTTTCTTTCTTTTTCTTTCCTTCCTTCCTTCTTTCTTTTCTTCTTTCCATTTTAACACCTTTCCCATAACTACTACTTCCCTTTTTTTCAAATAAAGGACTAACTCATCAGGGAGAAGAGTTATAACTTCTATAACTTCTGTGTTGTTGTTGTTTTCATTTGCAGTTTTTTCATTTGCAGTTTTCTTCTGTGTTTTTTTTTCATTTGCAGTTATTTCTTAAATATAGGAAATCATTTAAGAAGAATCCAGCACCTGCAGTTAGGAATAATATAACCATTTCTATCATTTCACAGTTTACTGCATCATTCATTAAAAAATATGGTGATCTAATTGATTGGTCCACCAATTACTGGTCACCAAAGGAATTATTTCATATCAAAATCCAAGGTTTGAACCCCACAAAAACGCTGTAACTCTTTTTATTAGAAATACAAGGAAAAATTAGAAGTTTTGATTAGAATTATAGAATCTGAATTCAACTTGATCCAGCCCAAATTTAAGAGTCCATTTATTAACAATAACTGTTTCCACACTTGTTATTTGTAGCAAGTTCTCAGAAATCAGATTCCTTTAAAAACACTTGTTTTAACCTCAGTTTCCTTTCTATATCATGGGACCAAACATTATATTTTAAGACTGATGTAGAGATTATCTGTATGAAACCTACATTAGAAATCTTGATAAAAACATACTGATTTAAATAAACAACAAAATTTAGTGAATACAGGATTAAATAATATTTGAATATAAATATACAATATAGATTTGCTTTTGTACAGCCAGCATTCAGATTCGTCTTATATTTCTGCAAATGTCACCAGATAAGGTAATATTTCCTGTTTTATGATACTCTCAGTGACATGTGCAATGTTTGATCTTTCACTACATTTCAATCCTGTATCTCTTCAGGCTAATGTGAGGACCAGGATGAGATAATAGTTAAAGGCTGGGAGTAAGACTGGAGACCTCTATATAAATCTATTCCTTGTCACGGATTTTGTGCCCACCAGTCCTCCTATAGGACCTAGCCCAACCTACCTCACAAGGCTATAGTGGGAAATCAGGAAAAGGAATATTATACTTGGAGTTTCTAGAAGAAACTTTAGAAGAATGGTAGTATACAAATTAATGGAGGGTTGTGTATTCTAAAAATTTTATTTTAAAAATGGAGAGATGTAGTCTTTTCACATTCCGTACATTCTGATGAAGATTTTTGGTGCTCTAAATTAACAATATTGAGACTGAAGCTGTTATTCTCCCTTAAGCTGACAGGCAAATGCAAGAAAAGTTCTCATTATCAAAGGAGGCTACAGTGTTACACAAATCTGCCTGTCCCGATTTTCATGGACCCCATTTAATGTGTTTTAGTAACTAACCCCTTGCAACTGGGATAAACTGAGAGGTTCATTACCAGGTTCTGGCTCTGCCATGAGGACTAGAAGCATAACATGCAGGAATGCAATCAAGCTTTCCATGGGAATTATCCAGGACATTCTCTGTCCATCTGTTTATGAAATTTACTTCCCACATCATCTTTAATGTTCCTAAGGCAGCTAACAAAACTGTTGCCACAATGGTGACCACCCTAATCTTTAGTTCTGGATGGGGTTGCATTATCACAGACAGACCTACTGCAAAACTTGGGGTTTCTTCTAGACTTGTGATTCCTGCTCAATGAGCAGGTGGCAATCATGGCTAGGAGAGTCTTCGTACAACTTTGTGTGCCAACTGCATCCATTTCACGGGGCCTGGCGCTCAGTCACTCAAATCATCTTGGTCATTTCAAACTTGGGACTACTGCAAAGTCTCTACATGGGGCTACCCTAAAAGATTGCAACTGCACAGTTTTGGAAGCTCCTAGCTGGCACATGTAATACCACCACACTGATGGTCAATCTGCTTTTGGGTGCAATTAAAGCCCTCTAGCATCAATCTGGGATATCTGCGGGACCATCTTTCCCCAATGGGATAGGCCTGCCCCATTCATGCTGGCAGGACTGCAGATCCCATCAGTCAAGGAATTTCAACTGGTGGGATCCAGAAGAGCCCCCTTTGCCATGGCCCGTCCTTTGGGACATCTGTCATCTTGCCACAGGTGAGATCTGTCCTCACCCTTCAGGAAAAGCCTTAAAACTTGGCTATGCAGGTTGGCTTGGAGTCCTGAAGGAGCAGCTTTTGGTTGGAGGTGGTTGGTGCAGAATATAGAGAAGGCACCACCATCCCCTCTCCATTTCAAACCCAGGATTTTTGATTTGTTTGATTTTTTTTTGTAATTTTATCCGGCTTTATATTGGTAACTGTTTTTATATTTGCGTATGTTGCCACATTGCAAGCGCTTAGAGTCGCCTCCAACTGCGAGATGGGTGGCAAATAAGTTTAATGATTTATTAATTAATAACCTAATTGTGTTATTAATCCTCTGGCACTGGGAACGACCGTATCAACAGAAAGCAGAGAAAAAAGTGGCTTGTGGCATCTTGCCAGCCTAGCAGAAAAACATAAGTCATCTCTCGCGGGGTGGGGGGGGTGCGGCACACACACACACAAACCCCCTCCCAATCACGCGAATGGTACAAGATTTATCCGCGTCTCCACCAGGCTCCTGCCTGCTCCTTCCCCACCCTCTCTCGGGCTTCCCCTCTTGCTGTCCCCCCTCGATCTCCCCGCCTTTGCCAGTTTCCTTTCCGAAAACCGTCTCCGTGGCAACCGGCTTCAGCGGGACAAACTGAACGAAGGATGTGGTTTTGCATGAGACTTCAGCGATGGAACATTGCCATGACAACCCGCCCGCGCCGCCCCTCAACCAGGCTCCGCCCGAGCGGAGGGTGGGGGTGGGTGGGAGAGAGGCGAGTGTCTTGGAAGGGTGAGGGCAAAAGGAAGGAACGGAGAAGGGAACTGTTAGTCTCGCACATGCGCAGTGGGAGGGAAGGGCCTGGGAGGTAAGAGGAAGGGCTTTTTGGGAGGCGTGGGGCTTGAGGTCGCTGTAGTTTGAAGGGGAAGAAGGGAGCGGAGGCCTGTTGGGCAGATTGCTGTGATTAGGCAGGACCTACAAGCATTATTTCTAGCCACGTGACTTTGCAGCACCCCCGTGTAACCTTCCAGGATCTTAAGGGCTGACATGTTGAAAGGGCTTTGGTATGAGTTGTTAAATTGGGGGTGCGAGACGACTATCCCCCATTATCACATGGCTGTGTGTGGGGCTCTGGCGTGACCCGCCAGGTCCTTGGGGGTTCAAATGACCAGGGAAGGCCCTTCCATGAACAGCAGAGTCCCATGAGTAGAATTTGGTGAGGTTAGGCTTCGGGGGTTATCCAGCAAGATTTGAAAAAGAAATTATCTCTAAGAGTCAGTGTCTCCTATGAAGGATTGTTTTGATCCTTCATAGGAGGCACCTAATTCTGCTTTATTACACATAGTGTAAATAGGCAGGAACTTTTGTGATTTCAGCTACTTGTCCTTTGGGATCTCAAGTTCTGAATCTTAGTACATATGTTGAAGTGTACCCACTCTTAAGATACCATAGTATCCTGTTAGAGCCTGCTGACAGTGCATCCTAGGCAAAGTTGATATATTACAGGTAGTCCCCAACTTATGACCATAATTGAGCCCCAGATTTTTAATTTATTTATTATATTGTTGACGAGACATTTGTTAAGTAAACTTTGCCCTATTTTACAACCTTTCTTGCCAAAGGTGCTAAATGAATTGCTGCAGTTGTTAATAACATGGTTGTTAAGTGAGTCTGCTTCCCCACGGACTGCTCGTCATAAGATTACAAAAAGTATCAGGACCCTAGGACACTGCAGCCATCATAAATATGAATCAGTTGCCAAGCGTCTGAATTTTGATGACATGACCATGGTCCATGGGGATGCTGCAATGGTCGTATGTGTGAAAAACAGTCATTAGTCACTTTTCTCAGTGTCATTGTAACTTCGAACAGTCACTAAATGAACCATTGTAAGTCAAGGATTACTTGTATTATACTATCTATAACAAGCCTGACTTGTTATTAAAGGCATGCAAGCATATTGACATAATACATTGGCAACCTCAACTTTAAGGTACTGCAGAGCATGGAAGTGTTTACTCTGTTCATGGGTCTGAGCCCATATTGTGTATGTACTGGAGGAAGATTCAATCAAAATGAACAATGGAATGTGGCATCACACTATAAAGAAGCAGAAGTCCAAGAAGGAAAAATTTGGAAAAGAAAGGAGCCTGGAGTGAGGGTTAAACATAAGACAAATACAAGACAAGGTTTTGGGGAGGAGGAAGTACATCCCTCTAGGCAGAATGTACAGAGAATAGAGCAACACCTAAGGTTTAAAAATGGTACAATATTTGACTGGGAAACTGTTGTTACTTTGAAGATCCAGTGACAATTAACAGTGAAAAGCCTGAAGCCTAAGATATTGGCATAATGTGAAACCCTAGAACTTTATAGTATATAACATGATAGAAAATTACAGAAATGTATGGAATGTAAAGTAGATGATGAGGATAGGAAACGGAGCAATATATCACTGTCAAAGGTTTCTTGAAGTTAATAATCTTGTGCAATCTTGTTTTAATTCATTCAGTTGTACTGCCGTCTTAACAAGTACTGGAACTATTATTTAACAGCTCTCAATCAAGCACTTTTTTTATATTTTAAAAATCAAGGGGTCTGTCACTTTCTAATGTTTTTCCTTTCCTACTGTAACTCATTTAATCTTTTTTTTTTTAACTTCCTGTTCTAACTTTCAATTATTAATCCATTTTGTTTAGTTAACATCCTACATTACCTGTAAATGAATCAAGGAAACACTTCAGTTAGTTGAGTATAACTCATATATTTTTTTCTCCTTCTCCCATTTTTCATCAGGATTGGTGGAAAGCTGATGCATTTCTTGGAGATGGTTGCTAACAACTGAGTGAACAAAAGCAACGGGTGATGTTGCCTGGAGAGATCAGAAGACTGTATCAGAGCATACCAAAATACTGACTGCCTAAATATTAATTGTATATTTGTCGTAAGGTTTCTCTAGAGAACAAGGTACTTTTATTATTTTTTGTTGGGGAGGGAATGCTGGCTTAATTCAGGTTTCAGATGCTAGGAAATTATTAGGCTAAGGAGAAAGGTTTGTGAGATAGTGATGAATGTGAAGATAAAAATGAAGGAGGCTTTGTGTTTTGAACTGAGTCATTCAGGCAAGAATTTTGAAATTGAATTGATTCTAACAATGTCCTAAATCCTCTTGGGCTAATAA